CACCTTCGTACATATAATATACATTATGGATCCTGCTACGTTTTTTCATGGTTTCGATTTAGTAATTCTATGTTTTGGAATTATTTTACACATAACTTTCTTCAGCTGTATTTGTATGCATATTCGTTTATTGAAGTCCAATGTTTTACTGCTTTTAATAGGAAACAATTATGTGGCATTGATTTTAACTTCTATTACGTTATTCGATGCGTCGTTAGCTGGTTTTTTAGGTAACATAAACCATAGTCCTTCGTTTGGAATTCCACTATGTCAAATTCGAGCTTATGCAGCTCAAGTTAGTTTGTCTAGTTTAATATATTCATTTTTTATTCAAGCATTGTTTCGTTTGTTCCGGATTGTTTTCTTCCGGAGAAGAAAACTTCGATCATTTCGATTATTTTCTATTATTTTAATTTGTCAATGGATATTTGTTATAGTTTTTAACCTGCTGAGTATTTTTCTCAACGATTTTCAGTATATATTAAGTGAATATCGTTGTTCACTTCCTCTTGATAGTTTACGTGTCACATTAATGACTATTTTATTATTATATATGCTCCCTATGAGTGGAATATTTATTATTTATTTCTATATTATACGATATATTCGTCGGACAACACAAGCGTTACAAGCTCGACAAAATCGAAATAGACGAGATTTAATTGTCTTCAAACGAATTATTATTCTATTTATAATTCTACAGATTTTATCCATACCTGCATTTATAGCTTGGCTCCTCTACATAATCACTGGTTACACCGTAAGCTGCAGCTATTATCTCGAAATATTCGTTTCATCAATTAGTCAATTTGCCATGTCGTTGGTTGTCGCGTCAACAACGCCAAAAATTTACGAAAAATTCAAACTTAGACAAAGACAAGTGCACCCAAGTCCAGTGATAAGAGTCCGATATCATAATGCCAACGAGTTTGATCGTCAGAATCACGAGGAAAGTATGTCTTGAACTTGATAAAAACAAATTTGTATCCACATTCGACATAAGGAAGCAAATGTATTTCTGTTTGAAAAAATATTATTTATCATCCTACTTTGTAAATCAAAGAAACTCGGTACAATCTTGAAATTTAATTGATTTAATAAGCAAAAAGAATCTTTGTTGTTCCTTTTACTTTATAAATAAATTCTACATGATCCATCTAGTTTGCATTTACTTTAATTCTCTGCTTGCGTAGGTGTACACATTGCAGCAGTGTTCAGACTTCCAAAAAAGGAAATTTTGGAAGTTTTGGAAATTTCAAGTACTTGTGTTCTAAATTGTTTGGTACTTCCCAAAATTATACAATTTCCGAAATTTCTGAAATTTCCAAAATTCTGTACAAAGCGAAATTTCCGAAATTACAGAAGATTCCGAAATTTCTAAACTTTCAAATATTTTCAAAAAATTTTCATTTGCTTTGCTATGTAGTAATCGAGTTGATGGACGCTTCGGAAATTTCTGTAATTTCCTTTTTCGGAAATCTGAACATGCCTCACACATTGTACGTTCTTTATTATCTTTTTCTACTGTGATGTTTTCCAAAGAAATCAACATCTTCAAGTGAAGATAGAACTCTTTTTGTCTAGCATCAGAATGTCTAGAAACTTCGATTTTCCTGTTTACCGTATTGAACATTGAATGCACTACTTACGTAAGTTAATTACTTGTCAATGTACTTCTCACTCATAAGAAAAAAGCTTTATGCTTGAATGAATTCAAATAGCGATTACATTGAAACTGTTCGCTAAGAAATACTAATAATAAACTTCTTCATCGCGCATTTATACAAAAAAAGGAAATATAAAATATTGTAGACCTACACATGAAAACTCACTGGAAATAACAGAAGCCTAGTTTCTATACGGCTATCAAAAGCAGTTGATACTTCTTTGTCAAAGCGTATCGGCATCGTCTAATCGATTCAATAATATCAGCGTTGGGTCACGATACTTAACGGCTTGTAAATTCTCTCTAACGAGTTTAGTACTCGTTTTTCTAGATGCATAAAATCATTGATATCTCTAGGTTCGCTTTCAAAATTCAGAGTTTTGCTCTAAAAAAAATTTTTTCATGCCACCAACTAACCACATATGCCCGTGGATTATTCACATAAATTTATTTTCCAAATACACTCACTATGAAAGTATGCAGAGAAAAAGAGAAGCCTCGATTATAGCATATATTGAGAGATGAATTTAGATTGTGCTCATTTCACAATATAGCAATTGACATGCAAGAGGAAAACATCTGTAGATGAAAAATTATCAAAAAAAAATACAATGTTTTACTCTCCCTAATATAAAATTTTCATCCTTTTTTTGACTGGCCCTCTGCATTCTAATAAAATGAAAATATTACAATATCATACTAAATGTTGTATATTTACACTCGAGTTATAGAAAACATGCACCAGAATTTTTGATATAAACATTTTAAACTGAATTCTGGGTCATAAATGCTATTAAAATTTTGTAAACTTGCTCACTTATTTGATAAATTGAATAGATTGTTCGGGAAAATAGGCTCATATTAGTCAACAGAAACTAATTTTAAGTTAAACTCAATTATAACATATTATCATCAAGGAATGTAAATTTTACCATTCTCATTATTACTCATTTATTTGTTCGACTCTTATGCAAATGACGGCATTTCCCCTCGACTTTTTTTCATCAAGCGGTGCAATAATATTTTTAGGAAAATAAACATTTCAATTGAAAATGTATTTTTTATAGATTCAGCCTTGCATATTCTTTTTTATGAGTCATACTGAATGCTCTACTTGTTAGTCAGACGTTTGCCGGTAAACAAACTTAGATCTGAATAGACGAGTGAAATCCAATTTAATGAAAAATTAAGTTTTTGAAAAAATTTCACAGAGTTAATTATTCTATTCTATCTTATACGTATTTTTTTACTGTATTTAATTATTTTGATGTTTATAAAAGGTTTTTTTTACGTTCTAAATACAGAAGGAATGTAATACCACAGATAATCTTTATTAAACATATTCGTTGCATTCGATGATAGTAAACAATCAACTCTGTTCTAGTTTATTATCGATTTTCAGTACTTGAACAAAAACAGTGTATGATTCGGTATTTCTAAATTGTTCATAAACAACTTGAAAGTAGTGATGAAAAAAAACAAATAGATAATTATCTATCATTATCTTTTTCAATTATACATGTCGTCTGATAGAATTATCGAAGAACAACCAGAAGGCGATATATTACATCATTATAGATATTCATTTAGTCGTACTAAAACAAAGCGAAACCTAATATGTCGATAGTACTAGATAGTGAAAGGGTAATCTATTTACAGCTCACTCCGGTTTGGCAATTAAAAATACATCGTCACATTTAAACTATCTCCCAGTTAGTCATCTTTTTAATCGAGATTAATAATGATGCTATCAGGAAAGGCTCGAATCACAAAACAAAGTGAATCCGATTAATCAAACCTAAGTCAACTATTGACAAAATTTTGTCATGAACATTTTAGGATATTTTAAACAGTTTGCTCGACACGTTAAAAACGTGCAGAATTATTCTTACATTTTTATTATATCATCAAAAAAATATTGCGTCGTCGATTGGTCTTGCCGAAGATCTGATGATGGCATAAGTAGAAGACAGTTCTGTTTGATAATGTACTAAAAATATAACATACAATCAGACTCACTTTTGTGCACAACTAATAGAGAAAAAAAACAACCTCACAAGAAGTGCCTTTTCTGAATGCAACGATTAAATATTCTTTTTTTGAAACTTCCTCAAATAGACGAATACATAGCCTGTCGATAAAAAGCAAGAAAACCATCTCATTTCATCTTGGATATTTTTTTTTCTAGTATATTATTATTTGACTTATTAATTCTTTTTTATCAGTCGGAAAAACTAATGCAAAATAGGCGGAATTCAGTATAAATAAGAAATGATGATTTCAGTCTTACGAGGGAACATTCTCAAGTGATTCGCACCATTTCGATTCCTCTTTTGTTGGCTTGTAAGGTCGGTCATATATATGAAATACCTGAAAGCGTTCGTGCCATTGCGGGTCGGTTTCAAAGTTATGAGCGAAAATGTGTTACAATAGATGGTGCCACCTTCTATGTGCTATTTTTTGTTCTTCTTCTCATATCTCAACTAGGGGATGATTTTCCCCATAGATATTTATAATACGAACATTCTTCAACTTGCTCGAACGAAAAATGTTTCGAGAAGTATGATTGAGCTACCTGGTCGAAAGAACGAAATATTAATGAATAGATAATAGCACCATCTATCAAAGCAATTGTTTCGCTCATAACTTTGAAACCGAGCAGCAATGTCACGAACCCTTTCACATATGTCATATATATGATCAGCCCTACAAACCAACAAAAGATGAATCGAAATGGTGCGAGTCACTTGGGAACGTTTCCTCGTTAGATAGCTACCTTGATTTACTCCTTTAAAAATTTTCTATGACGATATTTGATAACTTTAAAGCAAAGATTTACTTTTATAGTTTTGCTAAAAGAATCATTTATCATAGACAAAATTTACGAACAACCCAAATCATATTTATGATTGTGTAACTATCAACAGTTGACGTTCAAGCTTAAATTTACTCATATAATTATTTTAGTATTGTGCTGATTGAAATGCGTGAACGAAGTTAACACGAAAACAAAATATCGTAGCTATTTATAGAACTAGAAGAATAGTTTACTCTATTAGAATTTTAATAATATATACCAGAGTAAAAATAAAGTTAAGTATTTTTCTGCTCGTACTGTTGCAAAGTTCCATTTTACGGAAAAATACATCTCATGTTTCTTCATTCTTTCCATCACCCGAAAATTTTCCGCGGCAACCATTGGCACTAATAAATATTTATTAACCTTGGCGAACGATGGTATAATACAACACAGAGTACGTATCCTAAAACTTTTTCTTGGCAGCAACTACAGTGGTTTTAGGCTATAAAAAAGCCTACAACAAGAAATCAAACTATGGTTGAACGTACTGACTCACAAGTACTTGCAGGTATGTGTTATTTTAATTGGAACTTGGCGCAATGTTCAACAAAATATGATACCTCATCTTTCACCGTGACCAAGTAGTTTTGAGAAATTCAATACATTCGAAGAAAATTATTCTTCTGACGCGAGAACTGCAACTCATGCTATTTACAAATATATTTTTCAATAGGTTGGCATTCAGTTTCAAAAATCATCATTAGATTTCTTGACATATATTTACCATCTTATAGACACATAAAATCTAAACTCAAAATCTGATCTATCTCTAGGAACGAATTTCTCTGCAGTTGCATCGAGAAAAAAAAAGATTCCAAAGTATGTCTAATTGCATTCAGAATCTAAATTAGCCATGATTGCGTTTTAGTATTACAATTTATATAAACTAAAAAAATTAAGTGTGCTGAAGCTTTCTCTACAAATCAATCGTCATCAACATACTTGTGATTTTCAATTACTGGCTGTATCCCTAATTATTTTCTAATCATGCAATTTCTGTTTTGTAAAATTCAAAACTATGTAGAGAGCAATGTACCCATATTTAATATAGAGAAAAGTCCGTTCTCTTCACTTCACCAACGGCAATAACTTCAACTGTAATCATAATAGAAGATAATTTGTTGAAGGAAACGCGAAGCATAAAACAAATAATTACTTTATTAAATAAAAATCTATGATGATAAAATGATGGCTGGGAATCATAGTTTTAAATGTCACTAGTTAAGATTAAAAATAAGAAAGAGATGGATAACGCACTTCAGAGAAATCAATTTTCACAGCTGCATTCTATCATTATCTACGTGTCTTATTAGAACACATATCAAACATTTAAATAAATGTGGAAACTTCGGATTTCATTCGAGAGTTATGTGTACTGCAAAAAGTGCATGAGACATATGAGCCATTCTAGAATTCTGAACACCAAAACTATCATGAGAAACTAGGCAATTTGATTTCTGGATGCAGTTTTTGTGCATTTTGAGACGTTTTTCAGGCGATGTTTCGTTAGAAAGCTACGATTTAGTTCAAAACTAATATCAGATTCAGAATCAGCGTTAAAATCTGAGTCGATTTATATATGTTGTGGATAATTCTGAGAAAAAAAGTTTTTTTGAAAAATCCCTGTACTCCCCCCCTCAGGGATGGTCTGGTCAAAAATGGCAATTTTTTCGATAACTCACCCATTTCTTGACGGATCCTTCTCATCTTCGAACTCGACCTAGATATTGATGAGACAATTCTGTGCACAAAATTTCAGCTCAATCGAATGTAATTGTGAAGAGTTATCGAATAAACGGATGGGCGGCCGGACACACTGACCGATTCTATACTGTACTCTTTTTTTTTTGAGTGCACAAAAAGTTTTGGAAAGTATCATTCTTACTTTTTCTTCATTCAGTTTTCTCGTTTGTCTTGCAACTCTGATATTAATCGTTATTCAAATTCGTTCTTTGACATCGAATGTTTCATTACTTCTTACCTGTAACACTTACATTACATTAATTGGCTGTGGTTTTACGACACTTTTGGTAATGTCATACTGGATGTACGATGAACTTCATTCATTAGTTTCTTTTAATGATTATTATTGTCAATTGCGTTCCTATTTGACTCATGTTGTTATTTCATCATTTTATTATTCATGTATTCTACAAGCAACATTTCGATTATTTCGTGTTGTCTTTTTTTTATATAAACGAAAGCTTCTACAATCACGAACATTTTTCACCATAACAGTTATTGTTCAATGGCTAATATCGTTTTTCTATATACTTCTATATTTACTTTTAAAAGATTTCGAAAATCAAATTGATTTTCGAAGTTGTTCGTTTTCTTTTTAAAATCTTCGTGCACTTTCCACAGCTAAGGCACTTATGTACGGTACTTCTCTTATTATTATAAGCTTAATTTACATTTCTATCGTTCGATTTACTCGTTGCAAAACGTATTGCTCTTCTTCTTCTTCTTCTTTTTACTGCTACAGGAATCGGTTTATCAACAGAATTTCTTTTAATTGTCTATGCGATTACGAATAATTTAACGTCACTCGCTTGTCACATTCAAGGTTTGAGTTTAACACGTGGTATTCTTGCTCAATCGATAGCTATGCCATTCATAACATCACAAGTACGAGATATTTTCAAATGGAAGAAACAAATTAATCCTACTACGAATGTCGAAACTGTTCTAGAACCGAAAGTAGTAACACATGTAACAACAATACATGACCTTAAAATATCTACATGCATGTTAATCTTCTCATGATGAATTATATTCTTCTTTTTTTTTATAATATCTGTATTGATTTTATTTTACAATAAAAGAAATTTTATTATGTATAGTGATTTTTATTTTTTCAATCACACGATTGTCGACAAAATCAAACATTGTTCGACCCTCTTACAAGAAAATAGTTGATTTTATACGAATCCAAATGCTTATTTTGAAGCATCGTTCTTGCAGTAACGCCTACGCTCATGTTTCAGTACGGGTGAGATTTTTCTTAATTTTGATCATCATAGAAAACATCTGTTTTCTGTTCTCAAAAGAAAAACGAGTATAGATTAAACCATTTTTTCTTCATTGGTACCAATATTTTTCGAAAAATATTATTCGATTATCATCATGCGTTCTATTATCGTTGTCTGCTTACTATCCATTGTTGCCATTCAAGTAAGTTTTCGTTTGAATCGATTTAAAAATAATTCTCATCGATTTAAATATAGGTAAATGGCCAAGATATCAGTGGTATAGCCTCGGGTGTTTTCAATAATCTTCTTAGCTCAGTTGTTTCACAATGGGGTAACATGTCATCAGAAGATATGGCTTCGTTCGTTGATAAATTGACTCAACCAGGTTTTTGAAATTTTTGCAATTCTACTAATTTATCTTTTCAATCTAATATAGGTGGTTTGAGTCATGTATGGAATGCAATGGATGAACATTGCGGTTCACATTTTGACTGTGGTCCGGAAGCATGTTGTCTTGAGCCAAATCATAGTGGAAAACGAGCTTTCACTGACTCAGGTATCATTTATTTAAAGCGAGCAATCAGATTCTTTTCTATCAGTTTCTTTTGTTTTTAAAGGCAATTTACACACGTCAAGCTATTGTGCCCCATTGAAACAACTTGGACAAACATGTTCATTCCATCACAGTGGAGAAAGAACATCGAAATTTAGTTGTCCATGTGGAAAAGAACTTCAATGTGTTTCTGGTGGCTCATTTTCGATTCATCCATTGATTACACTTCAAAAGAACTCCGTTTGCAAAACTGCTTAAAAATACAATGAGCGATAATAAAATAAAATAAAAATGATCTACGATTGTTTAGTTCTTCGTTATCATAATACGAAAAGCTAAGCTATTCGACTGAAGAAGCTCTATTGCTGTTGTTGTTATTCTTTTTTTTTTCTTACCAAAAATCACCATTTTAGAACTTTCTAATAATAAGGAAAAATTGATTTCATCGATATGGAAATTTCGTTGTACTAAACTTGAACAAAAAAACAAAGTTTATATAAAATAAAACCTATACCAACCGAACATGGCAAAGATGTATTCAACTACTGGACAAAGTTCTCGTAGTAAACCCCTTGAAATTCAATAGATTATCGGTACAATTTAATACTATCTGTTATATAATCGTATAGTTCTTTTCATGATTGATTTATTGTATTTGGGATTTGATAAAAATTGGCAGCACATGATGCATCGATCTATATTATCAAAGTTTCATATTAAATAAATAGTTAGCCGTTCGATCAATATAGTACTAACGAATACTTTCATTCGTTTAGAAAAACGAAATTCTAAAACTCTTGAAGGTAAAACACATGCTAAAGCGTCATATAAATATAATGAATACAAAATTTTCGAACAAAAACATAGCTCGATTTCATGATATAAAATTCTCGCCTATTTATTTTCTCTTGTTTTCAACAATGTCTCCTACATATAACAAAAAAAAAAGAAAAAATTTTAGTCATAGAAAAATTCTTCGAAATAATTTTCTTGTATTTAGATAATTTGATTTCTGTTAATTATCGTATTGAACATTATCAAGAGAATTTCTTTGGTAAATCAAAATCAACTTCATGACAACGCCTAGATTTTGTTTTCATAAAAAAAAAGGTATCGGCAAAGGCCAAAAAATGCATAGCTCATTTTAAAAAATTTTCCTTTTTTTCTCTGTCATTGAAAGCAATGAAGCGAAACAAGATGTGACAAAAATGATATGTCGTGGCACTGTTTCGTCTTCGTTTTACGTGTTACTTTCTGCAGTTTAATTTTCGTCGTTATTTCTCTTTTCTTCTATTCTTCGTCTTCTGCCGCTAGTAATCGTAAAATGGCAATTGTGCTCTTCCGAAAACGACCTCCACGTGAGAGAAAATGTGGTGGCAGATAGAACACAGAACAGCAGTAGTCACAGTCCATTCTATCATATATCATCATCTAGATTCTTACACAACATAACGAACGAACGAATCGAAATTGTGGCGTATATTTATTTATTTTTTTCCTTCGTTTCCAACAATCATTATTATCAAGTATGTTTTTATTCGAATTCTATTAAATTTTCTTCATGTCATGCATATCTTTCTTTCGTTTTTGCGTTTCATTGTTTTTAAAATTGAAGCATGCGTTTGTGTGTGTGTGAGAAAGATACTATGGTACTGTTCGTTCGAGCCATTAAAAGATAAGATGGTTTATCAGTTTGAAAACTGCTGACTGCCTTCTTGTGTCAACAAAAAAAAAAGACAGTAAAAATGCCATACAGAATTCGTTTAGTTTAAATAAATCAAATTTGCACTAGAGATGATATTTATAAAATTTTCCTGTCATTGAAGAGGAGTAGCAACAAAAAAGAAACAGAAACGGAAGAAAATAATAATGAATTGGTAATCTCCTTTTATTTTGTTTACTCGTTCACAGACTAAATCTGAAAGTAAATAAGCGGAATGTTGTTTTCTGGAATTCACGTTCTGTTCTTCAATATACACAATGTTCATGTTAAAGACGACTTAGAAGGAATAATCCCTTTCTCCGTTTTTCTTCTCTTTTCACTCAGTGTAATAGTAGGCTTCTTCCATAATCTCTGACCTTTTTTCGCAGTCCGCTCTTCATCTCTCATTCGTTCCCGGTTTACGTTTTATATGTGTGTCATCTCTCGTCGTTGTCTTTTTTCTTTTCTTCTTCTTCTTCTTCGTGTCTTTCTCTCTTTTGTATTCGCCCGCGCTTCCCAAGAACGTGTCTGCAAGGAAAAATGTCAAGCTTTAGAAGACAATCGTACACTGTATCATCGATAGCAAAGATATGATGATCTGATGATGATGATGATGATGATTCTCCGTCTTCTTGTTCTTTATTTCGTTCGTTTTTTTCCTTCTTCTTCTCCCAATTGTTGACACAATACAGCGATAAAATTCCGCATCATAGAAAGAAACGTACACACACGCATACATTTACTCTGAACATTGGCTTTGCTTCCTCCTACTATCACCAACCTCCTTCTTTAAGTATAACATCTCATTGTCAATCCTTTGAATGTGCAACAATGTTTTCTACAACGAAAAAGTGTACGTCAGGGAGTTTTTCTTCTTCTTTTTTTCGTTCATTTACTGTTGTTATTCTGATCGTAAAGTATCAAATCGCGTGCGTACGTATTTATGACGTGTGTGTGTGTGTGCGTCGGATCTATCTCTTGAAAATGGATGACTATTTTATGTATGTATTTTAACCTAAGGGTATATTCATAGTTGTCATCACACCTATCTGTCTTTAATACAAACATTCTATTGGAGAGAAAGAATCGAAGGTGCTTATTTTCAATTCCACACGCACCAATCCCACTTTATATGCACACGTACAGACATATATCTGTTTTTTTCTTCTGCTCGTTTTTTCCTATTATCGTCTCGATCTGCTGCTTCAAGCATATACGTTATTGTAGCTATGCAGGGAAAAGACAAGGAGAGAGAGAAAGAGAAAAAAAGATAGTGTATATGAGGAATAATAGATGGATGTCATCATGATTTACAACAAATCGACTGATGGGTAATATTTTTGCAGTCAGACAGGTAAATAAAGAGAAAGAAGAAAAGGAAGAGTTAGTCAGCAGCATGAAAATAATATAATGTTAGTGGCAGTTAGTAAGGATGCGCTCATCCGTGACGGTTGAATATATGATAGTGATTGGTAGAACTTTGTCTCAGTACCTCCCACTTCTCTCAACATTACCCATTGCCGTCGACTGTCTGTCTGAGTACAACGAGATATAAAGAAAAAGATGAGATATTACAGTGCAGTCATTGAGAAAAAAAGTGACAGAACGAACGAACGAAATGGTTGTCCACTACTACAACATCACCGGTTCGCTTCTTATTCTCATAATTATCTATCGGTGAATGCACATCGACAGAGAGAACACTGGTGCAGATTTCTCTTTCTCATCAAAATAGATTTTTTTGTCGTTCTTCTGATTTACATTCGATAGATTGAAAGGAAGATAGGGAACGTGAAAGAGACAGCAAGAGAGGGACAGACAGATTGATGCTTTCTTTTTTTCCTGTCATTTGTTGTTGATTATCCGTCTTATTCATAAGATAGCACGAAAAAACAATGATGCTCGTCACTGGTGATGTTACAGAAGTAGTCAATACTTCGTTCTTTAACAGGTAAGGTAATGCGCCAGTCGCGAAGTTGCTTTTTTCTCTTTCAAGCTTGTTCTTAAATATGATAGTAAGAGCAAAAAGAAAATGTGACGGCGAATAATCCTGTTTTATTCATAAAAATAAATATATATGTATGTATTGCCTTCATAATTTAATCATTTATTATAGAAAAGAAGAACAATAAATAGATCGAGAGACACTGTATGAATATGTCAGCGTTAGCTGCCGCCAGCAGAAATCAGAAAGAATAAAAATCAAACTCAATGATCCGTATCGGAACAGCGCAGAGAAAGAGCTGGATTGTCGTCATACGTAAATACGACTGCTGATTTTTTCTTTTCGTTTTCTTTTTTTTTCTCATTGCTTCGTCTCATAATCGATTGGTTTCCTCTGTTACAAAAATAGAATAAACCGTACGATATTGGCATTACTAGTTGTTTGATTGGTTAACAGAGGAAGAGAAAAAAAAAGAAATCTCTTCTTCATTTTTCAATTTTCTATTGCTGGTTCCACCCATATACGGACGTGCTTTAAACGATTATATTTGATTTCCGGGCGAAATTTTTTCTTATTTATGTACACAAATTTTTCGTGTGTACGTGATCTTTTTTTTCTTTTCTATTACCAACATTGATTTATGCTTCCTCTTCAATTCTTGTTTTGTTTCTATTTTTTAGACAAAGACATCATCATTTTGATAGTAATTTTAATCAAACTATGGATTATTTTCCTACCAATACTGATGATATCAAGTAAGAAAACAAACTTCTGTTCTTTTTATTTTATTTTTTGTATTATTATGGATTCAACGCTATTTACATGTCATGTCTAGAGGGATTAGTTCCATTCTATGTATACACAAGTCTCGGCATCGTTCATCATCAGTAGTAGTACCAGTCCTAGGCGCTAATCCCTGTTCATTTCATTTTGTGTATACATGAGAAAGATCTGGTGTCATTTGAAATTGAACTAACATAAAGTAATTAATCGTACGTTGAGGTCTAATGGAAAAAGCATTTTCGATTTCTTCTTATGCGTCTCTCTGTTAAATTATCGATGCGTGTCCTCAAAAAAAAATGCCTTTCGGTCACGAAGGCATTTTAGTTGATATTGGTACTAGATAAAGAATGTCTCCCTTCTCTCTGTTTCTCTCCTTTCAACCATCTTCAATCAATGAACCAATGTGAGCTACAATGTCTCTTTCTTTACCTGTCGTTAATGACGCCCGTCTAAATCGCATCGTTCACATATGCATACTGAAAAATGAATGAACAAAATAGAGATCGAACGATGTAACAGAGTAATAGGAGAAAAGGGGACAGTGTATGGTTTAATGTCATGCCTGATCGATGTCTAACTGAACGAATTATCAATGAATTCAATCGATCTCTTCAGCATATATATATATATATATATATACGTTTGTGTGTCTGGTTCATCGGTCAATTCCGTTTTCAATAGAGATAAAGATCTTCACTTTTTTAAATTTTTTCATTGTTCGAATACAAATTCGTCTACGACTAAGAAATAGACAGCAAACACATCTATTCATCTCTCATCGCAGTGATCTTTGAAGTTCAAGTGTAACTTGAATAAACAAGAATTTTCAATAACACCTTTTCCTCTAATTTCCATTTTGATGATTAGCAAAAGATATGATATCAAGACATAATGATGTGTAATGTTTGTTTATTTCAGTGATTGTGATGCTAAATCGAACAAATCAATTTCAAATAATAATGCCATAAATCTCATGTTGAAAACAACGCCAAATACAGAACGTAGTAGTAATAGGTAAATGAATTGACTTCTTTGAGATAGAATTTAATAATTCGTTTTTTTCTCTACTTCAGACGAAAACAATTGGCGCCTCGTTCTCGACTTGTTCGTCAATGTGATCTATGTGATTTTTCTTCGTCAACTATTAATGAATTTAAAAATCATATGAAATACGAACACGAAACTGAACAAGTATATTTATGTGATGCATGCCGATATTATTCATTATCATCGTATGATTTTCAGTTACATCTTAATTCTCATCATGATTTATCCAAGTAAAATAAGAATTTAATCGATTGATTTATTTTATTTTTGTTTTATTCTTGTAGAAATAATCATCAATCATTATCACCACCGAAATTAAATCTTTTTGTAAAACCATCTCCGAACGCTGGATCTGATGAAGAAATCGAAGAGGATAATGACGAACATCAAATTAGCATAAATACTTCAAAAGAACAAAATAATACAACATTTGATAACGATGAACAAAGTTCAGATGATGAACAACAAGTAAGTTTCTAATTAATTAATTTTCAAAATGATCTTGTCGATAGAGGGCGCACATTCTCGAGCAGTTCAATTTTCTATGTGCTAAGTCATTTGATCTGTTTTTTTTGTGATCAAAACGAAACTTAAAGTATTGAAAAATGTATAAAATTTTTCTGTTTTACATCTGAGCAACATATGTGAAGATACGAATCAAGAACTCGAATAATTTTTCTTTCCATTTGCAATTTATTTAAGTTTCGATTAATCATACGATCTAATGGGACATAATGATGATGACAAGTAATTTATGAAGAAAAATAAAACATATAAGTGTATGAATGATTATTGACCGAGTCAAACTGTCATCATCGGCGAGTATAAATCGCGTTGTAGATCAATGAGGAAGCTAGTGGAGACATCAACAATAGAGCAAGATTATACAAACATGGTGTAGGTGGACGATAGGGCTTGAATTTGATGTTAATACTCAATAGCCGAACGCACTTGCCATCCCAATATGAAATTCTCGAGTTTTATATTGATTCATAGGAAAATTATCTACACTAGAATTCAATAGTAAGATTGTTAGTTAGTATTCCATAGAGAAAAATTCGTAATTGTAATATTTCAAAAACATATCATCTGTTTATCCAACAGTTTCAATTTAATTTTGATTTCGATAGATATTCCTGATAGACAACGTTCAAGTGATCGTATGAGCTGCTAGCGATCATTATTTTTTCCTACTATTGTTGAGTTAATCAGTTTACACCAATTAGAAATCGCAATAAGATTATGTAGAAATAGATAATCACTTAGCTAAAGATGCATATTATTAGCATATATTCATTATGTTTGTGTTAATTTTATCGCATTGTTGAAAGTTTCTAGTTAATTTTTCTTCTTCTTCTTCTTCTCTTTGTCCTGTAACGATCGTTTCATTGATCGATTAATCTTAATGAATATGCTTATCTATCAAACGATGACCTAGGACTAAAAAACAAATAATGATCTACGTTTTCTTAAGTTTAATTTTAAACGTATGTTCTACAGTAGTTTATAATCAGACATAAAGTAAAGTCATCTATATTCATTTTTTGTTAATATCTCTATAGACATGCGGAGAAAATTAAAATTTTTCTTTTTCTCCCTTTTAACTTCTGTTACAAAAATCGGATATTGAATTTCTATCTTAACTTCATCTTATGATTGAAGTTGACACTTGTTTTACCATAAATCCACTTGAAAACTGATCGTTTGATCTTCTTTTTTTCTTCGTCTTAAACTAAACTTTATGATATAACTAATGAGATGGCTAAATATTCAAATTTTGTATTTTTTTTCTTCGTCAATGAATAAAAAGAATAACAAAAGTACAACGTCGTAGTCAGAGAGTTACTATTTCAAAAAAGAAAAAAAAGAGGAAGGATAAATTTGCATCTTTGGATTAGAGTTTCATTTTTCGAACTGCGCATAAATGCAGCAGCACTAGGATTATTAATTGCATACGATTGACCTGTGTAGTATACTCTTTTTTCTTTTCTGGCCATAAAACGGATCATATTTATGATTGAGAATCGTGCCAACGTCAGAACAACAATTATACTTGACTAATCTGTAACATGTAGTGAAAGAGAGTGAATATTCAATTTTTCGCACCATAGAGAAAATCGTTAATGATGTGTGAAACTTTCATAGGATAATAAAATGAGAACCAAATAGTGATGAAAAAGAAGAGCGAATGGCAATGAAAATCATCAAATCTTATCATTTGTCAGGTGCATGTTCCTTTTTTCGATTAAAAATGTGAGTAATGATCGTCATGTCGACTTCTAGCCATGATAAAAAAAACAACATTTCGATTAAAACAAACTTTCTCTAAATGTCTGTTCTCTTATACAATAAGAATATGAGAACTTGCGCTCACGCATGTAATTCTATTTTAGCTCTATAAGTGTAGTGTATCATGATGCTTTTTTGTTGTTTGCGAATAGAAGAGCTCGTTTCTTGACGGCTATAACAATCAGACATTTTCTTCATCATTTTATATATATATGTATATATAACGGGAAAATTATTCTGTTTTTCTTTTTTTCTCGCATACTGACACCTGCCCGAAAGATCAGTTTCTCGGTCATGGTTATTATTATTGGATGCTCATAAAATGCGAAAAAGAGAGAAAGAGAAAGAGAGTGTGTGTGTGTGTGTGCGTATGTTAATGGCATTACTCCTTTTTTTCTTTTTCTACCAATGGCTACTCATCTTTTATTTTTTCTCTCTTTTCTCTATTATAGAATCCTTCTACTGGTCTAAATAAGAAACTTGATCTTTCCGTTACTTCATCTCATTCGTATACAACACAACAGACATCATCAATTGTTCCTGATCGCAAACGTCCTTATAACGTTTCTGTTGATCCAGCACGTTACCGTCGTGTACCTGATCCCGAAGATACAAATTCAGGTATATTGATTAAAATTCAAGTTGAAAAAAAATTTCCTTTTTTCTCTCTTTCTCTCCGTGTCTATCAACAGTAAAATTCGCTTGTTCATTATGTGGTAATTTATACAAATGGAGAAAAAGTTTAAATAAACACTGGAAAGAAAAACATAACGAAGAAGAGCCACCTCCACTTGACGCACCTGTTACAATACGTCCATCTAAATCATCTCAATCAAAAACAATAAGTTCAAATCCAATCGAAATGTTGCCAATATCAAATAAATCTATTCCAAACCAACATCCAGCCTTTCCATTTAATCCTTATGCATGGTTAAAATTAGCAACATCAATATCAACAAATGCTCCAGTTGATCAACATCCATTAGATCTTCGAATAAAAGCTACTGAGAATCATTTGAGTGACGATGACGACGGACGTGAAAGTTCCGACGATAGATCATCGCCAAGTCCACAAAATGCATCGGGACAAAAAATTTTTATGTGTTCAATATGTGATCAAAAATTTTTGTCTATTGAAACAGTTAATGAGCATTTTTTAAAGAACCATTTACATGAATTAGAAAATGAAATCGCTGGCAAATCGCCACCGCGTAATACGAATGTTGCACAACAAAATGAAGAATGGAATCTAAGTGATCCAGTTAATCCATTAAAATGTATTCAATGTGATTTTGTTGGTCGTTGGCCAACAGAACTTCAAAAACATGCTGCATCACATTCAACATCGAGACCATTCAAATGTCTTATATGTTCATTGACTTATAAATGGCGTTGGGGTAAGAAGCACAGTTTTTTTTTTATCGTATCAATTCACTTTCGTTTTATTTTAGATTTAGCTAAGCATTGGGATCGTGCTCATGCATGCAGTGGGAAAGGAATTACTTTAATAAATCCATATAAAAAACGTGATCGAGACCAAGCACGTTCTATGATGGACATGCCGACAGGATCATCAACTAAAATACAAACAAACTCTGATGGTCATTCAATATGTTCATCAATGTCAAATGAAAATCTAACAAAACATAATCGTGGCAACCATTCTGATGATGAACAAAGTCAAAATTCAACTAATTCAGACAATGACGATGAACAACATACTGCAAAACGACTCAAACAGGATGATGATAAGATGTTTTTTCCTCCGCCATTACCACCTATTCCTCCGATGCCACCATCAATGTATTTTCCATCGCCATTCTTTCCGCATCATCCATTATTTTCATCATTTATCAATCCATCATTATTGCTTCAACCAAAATTTAATTATTCTCCACATTTACCGAATTTACCAATGAATGCAAACTTGGATCTATTTCGACAGGCAGCAGCTTTTTCTCAACGACCAGCATCACCGAATTCATCCCGATCATCGTCATCATCATCGCCACGTTCATCATCACCATTACAACAACAACAACAACAACAACAACGTATGCATGCTGTTGCAGCTATGGTCGCAGCCGCACAGGGAAATAATCATCATCATCATCATATTCGGCAACAGCAACAGCAACAGCAACAAAAGCAACAACAACAACAACAACAACAACAGCAGCAGCAGCAGCAGCAGCAGCAGCAACAACAACAACAACAACGAAGAATTGAAAAAGACGAAAGAAATTTTCAATGTCGTTGGTGTGATTATCGTGGACGATGGAGAAGTGAATTAAGTCAACATATGAGATGCCATCATGCTAGAGATAAGCCTTATCATTGTTCAGCATGTCCATATGCTTCGAGTTGGAAATGGGATGTTCAAGTAAGTCTAATATAATATCAAAGAAAAAATGTTAGAACTTAAAAGATATCATTCTCCTAATGGGCGATTTTTAAAACCAGCTCCTGAAACTTCTATGAATTTCAGATCTCTCTTAACAAATAAAATATATTTTTCAAAAACTTTCCAACAGGAGCGAACGAGCAATAGTAGAGACTTTAGAGCAGGTTTGGTACAGCATTCGGTCTTTTCTCGAACTTCACCTTGCATGTGCTATTTTAAAATTCAATATGATAATGTCGATGGTTTTCCAGAATCTAATTTAGAACTTTTTCAATATTTCAGAAACATGTCAAAAAACAACATGTTCATGATTCAGCAAAAATCGTTGAACTACCTGATAAATATTTATTTCAAACAACTCTCAAAGCTAAATATGAAGGAACAGATGATCAAGCATTAACATCCATACCATTGACTGAAGAAGACTATACATTTTTTGGTGCCGATGTTCAAACAAAATTATCCACAATAAAATATACACGTGATCGAACATTATCCTGTCAACAGTGTCCATTCGCAGCTAATTCAATGGCTGAATTACGACGTCATTTAATTGTTCATTCATCTGAAAGTCCTTATCATTGCTTTAATTGTAATTATAAATCGAAATGGAAATGTGATGTTAAAAAACATATGAAAATATGTAATCATCATGGTCCAGTTTTAGTTGGACGTAAAGCCATGGCTAAAGTTATGGAGGTAAGAAATTAAAAGCAAAATTCATTTTTGTTTTTCATATAATCTTCTGTTTAGAGCCTTGGTTTAATTATTGAAAATAATAAATCTGCCTCGCCAGAAAAAAACAATGAACAAAAATCCATTGAAAATGACGATGAAGAAGAAGACGACGAAATAATTGTCGACGAAAATCAAAACGATGATAACAATGAAAAAGAAAAGATTAATTCTCGTATTCAAAATAATAATTTACGTTGTCGACAATGTGATTATGAAGCTGAAGATCTATCAGATTTACTCGTTCATCGAAAAGGTCATGCATCGATTAAAAATCGATTTGATTTGGAGAAAAAGTATCATAGTGATATTGAAAATGATGATAATAATCAATCAGAACAAGTTTTCCGTTATGGTAAATAAATCTTTTCAAAAACAAAAGAAGGAATTTACATTTTTGTTTGTTGTTCTAGAATTACAATGGTTAGAAAATAATCCATTGATCAAATCATTTACTACGAGTAAGCTTTTATTTAAAGTGGCGGATGAAATCGTTATTCTATTCCCTAAAATATCTCGGTTTCTGGTGTTGGAGTTGAGCGAAAAGAAAATCTCCTATAGCACTACTGACCGAAATATTCTAGGAGACAGAGAAACGAATCTGTTCACCGCGATCGATTAATCTAATTCTGAATAATTTTAGTTCATGAGAAATCTCGAACAATTCTTTATCAATGTTCAAAATGCCATTATAAAATAAATAATAATCATCAACATTTTTTCACTCATATTGATCATCAACATCCTGAATTATTAGAAGTAAATTTTTTATATTTTCAAAAAAAAGAACTAATCTGAAAAATTCTTTTCTCTTCTAGGATCAAATGTAAATGTGTGTCAGATATTTCCTGTTTGTGTTTTCAAGGTCTTTCTCGTCCTATGAACATTCCATTCAGATAAAATGTGCTTACACTATTTATCCGTTTGCTTTCTGTTTTGTCTAGAAAAGTTGCATATATATACATATATATTTGGTTTTTCTTTCGTGTTCCGTTGCTTTACTTTGCTCTATTCTATTTGTCATTTTTTTCTTTTGTGTCCTTTTTTTTTTATTGAAGAACAACCGTAACAAGATGCATTATTCAAGATTTTTATTAGTAGAAAATCATAGAATGTGGACAAGAATACCTGAAATCGAATGAATTGAGGATTAAACCAACTTTTGATGTGATAGTTTTAGCAATGAAGAGAGAGAGAGAGAGAAGACGTAAGCATTACGATGATACAGTACTGTTAAATATGTTTGAATTATCGATATGTGAAACGTTCGGCTTTGCAAAAGAGAAGTACGCAACATTTGAAATTGTACAAAGTAATGTTTTTCCTAGCTCCCATGTTGCATGATTTGAAGAAGTTTTCTTCGTGTGTTGTCAGATACGCCGTTGCATGCTTGCACCCTCAACTGATTCAATTGCTATCAGTTGATTGATGATCCTAAACAAGCAATAGTAATACTTAAAACAAATGTTTCATTTTGACAATATGAATATCATTTGTTAGGAATAAAGGGCAGGGGCGTATAAGATACTCTATCGGCCCATTTCGAGTTTTTCAGCTCAACCTAGTCACATTACATATGATTTGAAAGCTCCCGGTGAAACAAGCATTCTGAGATTAAATCCGTTAAGAAACAATTCATTTCAAAAAAAGTTATGGGCACAAACAAAAGTTGACTATTTGGCTGTTTCTCTTGAAAAGAGTCTCCCATTTTCGACACAGATATATCACAATGGAACTGTTCTCATGTTGACCAATCGATAGACATTTTTAAGCTGTACAAAATAGGATGATTACGAGAGCCAAAAAAACATTGGCCATTTAAAGATTTCTGCGGCATTCACTTTTTGAGTGGTGATTTTGCCGGTTTTTCCTACTCTCTATTCGATTAGGGCCAGAAAGGCTTTAGTTGTTGTAAAAAAATGCGCTATATTCGGAATCAGCATCCAAACTTGAGTGTGTTTAACTGCATAAGGATTAAATGGAAAGGCTGGATGTTGGTTTGGAATAGATTTATTTGATATTGGCAACATTTCGATTGGATTTGAACTTATTGTTTTTGATTGNAAATGGGAGACTCTTTTCAAGAGAAACAGCCAAATAGCCAACTTTTGTTTGTGCCCATAACTTTTTTGAAATTCATTTTTCGTGACAAATTTAGTATCAAAATGCTTGTCTCAACGGCAGCTTTCATTTCATATATAATTTGACTATGTTCAGTTGAAAAACTCGAAATGGGCCGATGGGGTATCTTATACGCTCCTGTCCTTTGAGTACAAGTCTCTTTCAGCTACCATTCTGGTCTTACAGAAAATTTCTTCAATAATCTAAAAGGTAGGTTTATATTGTAGACTATGTCGCCTATATTGAGATCTGTAACTAATGAGAAAAACTTAATATGGTGTAACTTTAGAATTAGAATAAGGCTTACAATTTATTTTATTCCATTTAGAAAAAGAAAAACAAGATAATGGTTAAAAGTCTAACTCAAGCTATAAAAATGTCTCTTCCATGGGGTTTTGTTTTAGTTAATTTATACATAGCAAAGGAGAAAAAATCACGAGTCTAACAATAACTGCATTGTAACTACCTACGAATATTATTATGATATGTGTCGCATGGGGTGTGCTTGGTCATTCGACCCACTGATAGAATTCATAGTGTGGTAGACTAGAGATGTTTAAAATCAGTTCCGGCTACCGAAACCGAAATATGAATCTCTACTGGTACGAATATCCAAAAAAAAGTGGCCTTGTCAAGAGACTTAGCTTGAGTCTACCATACCGCAACATGCAGCTGCAGCACACGTAGAATGAAATAGACATAATCTACAGGGCGAAGAAATCCTACAACATTTTTTCTGTAAATAGAAACTGACAAGATAACAACTACAATCATCGAGATTGAAAGAATTCTATCCCGCATATCTCTAATATGGACATATAGATAGCGCTTAATGCAATAATTCTGGCATGGTGACAGCTTTCTTTGACTTTAACAAGTATCGAGTTTGTCCTACTTTGTAGTATCGATTTAGTATTTAGTCAAACTCAACTGTCTCCATAAAAACTACTCATCATAGAAATAGACATTCGATTGAGTTACAGTGGCTCCCAAAATTATCCAACCAGGTTTATTTTCAATTTTTTCCGCTACCTGAATCATTAGACCGATTCCCAATAGTGATTCGAGTAGAGAAAATTGTTTCCAACAAGAATATAGCAAAAGAAAAATTCTAGTAAAATTCTCAAATCTAGGGTCTCCAAAAAACCAAAACCCTAGTTTTTTGTCATCCAGAAGTCGTTAANTGACAAAAAACTAGGGTTTTGGTTTTTTGGAGACCCTAGATTTGAGAATTTTACTAGAATTTTTCTTTTGCTATATTCTTGTTGGAAACAATTTTCTCTACTTGAATCACTATTTGGAATCGGTCTAATGATTCAGGTAGCGGAAAAAATTGAAAATAAACCTTGTTGGATAGTTTTGGGAGCCACTGTATGTATATTCAAAATCAACAAATTTGTTTCAATGTTATAATTGCGTTTTTTGTAAACGTGAATCAAATACAATATTGAAACCCTATTATTTTAAGGCTAACTATTGCGTGTATTGAAGTTGAAACAATATAGAGTTGTTTTTGATCGACGACACATAGAAAGTATCCGTAAAATGATGATGAATAATGTCGTTTGTTTTTCATAACAGCTATACTGCGTTTGTAGATAACATAAATTTGTATTTATGCGTTTCTACTTTTGTTAATGCACTATTTGTGATTCTATTGCAAGGTTTATAGTTTCAAGAATTTTCTTTTGGAAATTTGATCCTAAAGAAGAAAAACTAAACCCATATTCGCTTGTTGTATTCTTGGAAATTGATTGCTGAAGAAAAAAATTGAAGTAATTATCTCTATTCAAGAAATTTTCGCCTTGATATTTATTTTACTCATGTGGATTATTATGGCCTTGTTCACGGTCTATTGTCTTGTATCTTTTCTATTGCTTGCTGGCTGGTTTCTCGTTCACTCTATTAAATCGAACATGTAACTATAAATAGTCAAGGTTATAAACACTATTGCGTATGTAAAGACCGAAATCGAAACGATAGTAATTTCTTTTAATCACATGACCATATACAATTAGAAATTCTAAAAGAATTCGAGTTAAATTGTCTCTAAAATACGATATTGTATAAAAGTGCCAAGTTGAATTCAACATTTTTATTGATAAATGTCGAAATAAATTTCGACGGCAGCACAAGATGTTAAATAGTGTTTTGATATTATGAAATAATTATGCTCGTTAAGTCAAAATAATTTGATTTGTATCTAACGAAACCAAAAACGGACTGAAACATGATTTTAAAAAATTGACTTTCAATGATTAGCTTCAATTTTCATGAATATCTAAGTCAAAACGTCTTAAATTATTAGAATATGGCCTATTTATTTTTGTTCGTTTAAATATTTTTGATTCACTCAGAAGTTTTCTTTTGACTGGATTCTTTATTCTTAGACAACTTCCATTGAATCGTAGAATTTACAATGACAAACAAAAAACAAGCCGCAGACACTATAAATTCATTGTACACTTAAAATATGACAGTGACGAATGACATAGTTATATGCAAATAAAGCAAAAGAAGTCGAGCATACAATCGTACACATCTACGCAGTATATATATGTGCTAAAGCCTTGATAATTGTTTGTTTCGGTTCATTAGAGTACTATTTACGTAAAATAAATTGCTTCTCCATGTCTTTTTATGGCTGTCACTGTCATTTTCCCATCCGCTCGCTTCTAATGTTCTATGACCAAATCCAATGTAACTAGATTGCATTGCAACATAGTAACTAAACGAATATGATTAAATATTTTGTGATTTCTTTTTTTTTGCATCGAGCTTTTTATGTGAGGTATATTTTACAAAATGTAAAACAAGGAAACGATCCAATAGTTCAACTAGTAAATTCACTGTTAGAAGACAATAAGCAAATAGAGGTCTATGAATATAAACACAATCACTTTGTTTAAAAATTTTATAGTCTTTTTTTTCTCTTTTCTTATTCGTGAATTATAGATCCTGCATATTTAAAACATCTTTTTACCTTCTCATTACACCCACACCCCTTTTATACGCTCGTAGAAAAGTTATTTTCTCTCTTTCTGTATGATTTTTACGTTTACTGTACAAATCGACAGTTTTGACACCGACATATTCTAGAACAGTAATCTCGATTCGAATCAAATGTATTACTATCTTGTTTTCATTTCAGGACATAAAGATCGGTCATCATCATCGACCAATATTCAACCTATATTTTAACCTACATTTTAAACGACAAAACGAACGATGACTAGTGGCAAGATGATTCTCTGCATTGTCTTATTCATATTTGCTATTCAGTCGCAAATTTTATACGGTAAAAAATGATTTTCCTAATGAAAAATCTTTTTGTCTATAATTGTTCAAATACTACAGGAAAATCTGTTGATATAAGCAGTGGAACATTTAAGAAATTATTCCGCGAAGCATCGAAAAGTAAAGATTGTTCACGTAGTGTACCTGATCAAAAACCAATACCCTTACGTTTTCGTCGTGCTTTTTCAAAAGAAAAGCCTCCATGTGTTATAGATATCGAATGAACATTTGATGTTTTCAATTAAATAAACAAATAAACATTTCTCTTCAATATCACCACTATCATTTTTATTTCCTTAATTTTTTTTTGTTTTAGCTAATTTGATATTAAAAGACTCACTTTGCTTTTTTCCTTTACGGCAAATAAAAATCCACATTTAAAATCACAAAAATGTTTCTTTGTTATATATAAAAACAAAAAGAAAGAATAGTACGAACAAATACAAGACGATCGATTATATTAATGCAAATTTAATCAACTACTCTTATTTTCACATTTGAGCCTATATACTTATATAGACAGGTGCAAATCAAGGCTATTTTAATGATGAAAAAGAGCAATGATATTATATTTTGAAAACCTTTTTGTTTCATTTCAAATATGAGATCGAATGACATAAATATTGAAATACTATGATGTATAATGTTTTTTGTGCTTGACATCTTAATCGCCTCCTTGATTGAGAGATTAGTGACAGGGCATAAAGAGAATAACGTCTATAAAATGAAACTTTAAAACGGCAAATACACTACAATAACGAAAACATCTTAACGATGTATGTGCGTTGCCTTTTATTATTGATTGCTGTTATCGTTGCTGATGCATCGAAAAAACGTTATGATGGGTAAGAATAAAAGTTTTCTTCAGCACTATCTAATGTATGTTTTTTTCTTCAGGAAAATTGTTTTATCTGTAGAACCTTCAGAAGAAGCACACTTCCAATTCTTATCCTATCTTGAAGATCATAGCCAAGTATAATTTGAGCGAAAAGAAAATCGAATATATTATCTACAGCAATATTTTAATTATTGATATAGATTGATATTTGGAATGAATTGGCTAGAAATACGTCAGTTCATGTTATGATTGATAGAAACAATCAAACCACACTCGTGCCAATCTTCGAATCATTGAACATGAAACCAAAAATCATGATTAATGATATTCAAAGGTAAGTTTGAACGAAAAACAAAATCGTTTTTTTTTTTTACATAATTATCGTTTTCATTCAGATTACTCGACGGTGAAGAACAAACGCTCCGAACCCTTTCACGAATAGGTTCCGGACGTGGAATTCAAGATAGTTTCTATAACTATGATCAAGTAAAATAATATTTCTTTCTGGCACATCACGTATTTGCGTTTATAATTAGCTCACCGCTTGGTTGAAACAAATGGAAGCTGATTTTCCAACTTTCGCAAAACTTATATCAATTGGTAAAACATATGAAAACCGTGATATATGGGTTATGAAAGTAACGATATTACTTTCAAATAAAACGCTTGTTTGATTTAATTTTTATATGTAGATTACGTCCCCATCAGGAGGAACAAAGAAAACAGCTATGATGGATTTCGGTATTCATGCTCGAGAATGGATTTCACCAGCAACTGGTGCTTATATGATCAATGAAGTAAATCAAATAGAATTTGTGCTTATCGACTAATGTCTCTCTCTCTCTCTCTCTCTCTCCTTTACAGTTCTTAACACAATATTCAGCAGGTGGTGATGCTAAAACAATTATGGACACATGGGAATTACATATAGTTCCTGTTCTTAATCCTGATGGTTATGCTTATTCACATTCAAACGTTCGTTTTTAAAATTTTCATCACAGCACAAACGATTTTAAAAAAAACTTTCTTCCAGGATCGCATGTGGAGAAAAAATCGAAAACCAGTCAGTGCTGGTTGTGTTGGTGTTGATCTTAATCGTAACTTTGGTCATCAATGGAATACAGGCGGTAGTTCAGCAAGCGCATGTGCGGATACATTTCATGGCGGTTCCCGCATGAGTGAAAATGAAGCTAAAGCACTTGAAAAATATATGACTGGTAAAACTTGGACTACATATCTTACATTTCATTCTTATGGACAGTGAGTTTCCTATTATTTTGTGTTTTCTCTATAAGTGAATTCATTTTTTTTCTAGATGGTGGTTTACTGTAAGTTAGAAAAAAAAATTTTTGATAATAATAAATTTATAATTTTCTTTTAGAACTGGTAAGTTGGTGCATGAATAAATAGCAGGAGTATTGATATGAGAGGATTGCTTTTTTTCAGGGGTTATACAACAGTAGATCCACCAAACTATGCTCTTCTTGTGAGAATTTATTTAAAGCTTTTTCACTTATAATAAGTACTTTATTGTTTTATTCTTGATAGAAACAAAAAGCTCAAATTGGTCTCAACGCTATTCAAAGTGTAAACGGACGCCGATATACACTTGGTTCATCAGCACAATTACTTTGTTAGTTGTCGTAGATTTCTTTTTTCATTCAATTTATACCGGTTTTGATATAAAATAGATATTGCTAGTGGCGGTAGTGAAGATTGGACTGCTGGCTCACTAGGAATCTTTTATTCATATTGTCTCGAATTACCACCAACAGGTGGCACTGGATTTATTGCACCCGTCAGTGAAATTAAACGCACTGGTAAGCTAATATTTTAAATTGATATATTTATTTGCATTAATATTATTTGTTTAGGTGCTGAAACTTTTGTTGGTATGGTGGCCTATTTTAAAGCATTATAGAATGAAAAAAAAATAAAAATAAAAATGGGCGATATAAGCAATTACTGTGTGTTAAAAAGTGAAAAATAAAATTTAAAATTTAAAAATATCATGCTTTTTATTACGCATAAACACTTTGTTCTTGTTGATTTGGCAATTTTTCGATGGTCGATGATTTAATTTGTTGTAGAGAATTAATTGGAGCGGGTAAAAATGGAAATTTCTCACGCATTTTATCATCGACTGTGTCAGTTGCTTTACCTAAGTAATAATAAGTTCGTGGAATGCTTGTGTTTCGTTGGAATGAACTTAAATAATCAATTTCTTTTGCATCACGAGTCGTCGGTTGTCGTCGACTACTATTTGTTATCGAACGATAATTAAGATCTTTATTTACCGCATTTGTACGGTCAAGTGCAGTGGAAAATAATCGTGGTATAGCGACACGTGTGGATTCCGCATATAATTTTGATTCGTGAGGAATATATCGATCGGCATATTCACTTGATATAGATAAAATAAAAACAGCTTAAGAATAATTAAATAGAAATGAATAGTCGAATAATAATTCCGAACTCTAGTATCGGCAAAATATGACTTATCTATAACAGCAATAAACTACATAACAAATCATTTCTGCGACCTTTTATTTTCGGATCAATGTTTGTTTTCGATTACGTTTTATATTATATTTAGAATATCTACGTGTACTATTAGCTAATTTTTTTTTGTACCAATGAGATAACTTTCGGATTGCATCAATAGATTCTACCCGATGATTTTGACCTATATTCCATCGGACTGATCTCGAGCAAAATTGAATAGATAAATAGTACCTTGTCTCAGGTACTGTCAGCGAACGATGCAACATTTGACTTTGCGAACGCTTCTTTTCCATGAGACCAAAACGTGTTGGTTCACCTTCAAGAGGATGATCACTATGTTCTGGAAGCCAACAATCATCTTGTAATGCCCATTTTCGTTCTGGTGCAAACTAAAAAATTTCGATGAATAACTTCATGAGGAAATGATTTCCATTGGTTTTACTCGATCAGTTCCGTAGGGTCCACGCCGATTGAAATGTTCGTCATAACTGTAAATGCGAAAAGGGCTAGCGTCAAACGAAAAAACTTCAACTCAGTTTTACCTGGTAATCAATTGTTTTTGATCATCAATATTATGATGGCCGAGAATCATTCGTCCAGGTCGTTCTTCTTGTGCTAAAAGTAGTTTACGTCTTAGAACTGTATTGGGTAGACAGTCGACATGCACTGGAAAATCGCGACGATAAGTTGAATTATGTGTAAAATTTGATTGTTGTGACTAAATAATGAAAAGAAAATCGTAGAAATCCTTTTTGTAGACACATAGGCAAAGAAAAAGAATTAAAATTCAAACTAAAAACAATCTCGAAATATTGATACAATATAAGATTGATATAACTTTGATGTATAAAAATGCACTGCAATGCGAACGTTTAGGTACCACTGGAAGAAAAGAGAAATTTTCTACTTTCAAGTATTTTTTAATATAAAGTAAGCTTATATCAATATATCAACTAAAGCGACTCATATTTTTCGTTCGTACGAATTATTGCCAAACTCACCTTTGATCGATCTTCATACCAATTTCCAATTAAAACATCTGTTCCGAATTGTCGTTTTCCTCGAAATTTTTCAGTATGTATTGGTATAATCGGTACGTTGGCATAAGTTCCATCTTTTGGATTATAAAATCGATTAGCTTGAAATGCCATTTATAAAACTAATCTTAAATATATAAAAAAAAAAGAAACGAGCCTCACCATATAAAAAAAAAGAAACCTTAATTTCATCTAGATTAGAAATATCAAATAGCGATCTAATTAAGACAAAGTAGAAAAAAACACAAAAAAGAAGAATAATTTCGAATATTGCATTAAACTGTGCAATAAAATAAAATAAAAAAAGCCAAACCCATACAAGGCATGTTTCTAAACATTTTAAATTTCTAATCGGAACTGTCGAATTTCACACTTTTATGTGCTGATCTTCGACTACTATTGTCCAAACGTGGTATGTCACTAATTGAATGTGCATCTGTACTTGACATGGCCGATTTATGCACTTGTGGATATGTTTCTTTTGCATTAATATGTACACGAGTTGGCGAAACATAACCCCGTGTACCTGTTTGAACATGTTCAGCGTACCAAAGAAGATGAGATTCCCTTTTTAATATTTTTATTTTATCATTTCTCGAAAACGATAATTCTTCCGGACGTTGAGCTGTATAATTCGTTGTTGCAATCATTATTTGATTAGCCGATGGCGGAGGTTTTCCATGCGCATGCCTTTCATCATCGTCAGTTCGATTCGATACAGGTTCGAAAAGATCTGGCGTCGTTAAATTACGTAAAGGACTAACGAGTGGTGGTCGACCAGAATCAGATGTATAACCTGACAGGGGAGCATTTCGACGTCCTTGATAGGGTGAAAGATCGCGTTCTGTTGAACGTGACATTATATGACCACCGCCATACTCTGTTATAGGATCTTGAGGACGATCGGTTCTAGATTTTGAATGCTAAATAAAACAAAATTCACTTATTAGAAATTTTTCTTTTGTTATTCTATAGGATTACACTTTTTCAATAGACGTCACTAGCAACACAATGACTAATCATAGGAAATGAAAGCAACTCAAAAGACGTGATTTTGTACTACAAGCGAGATTTTCGAAACCTTAAATATAGATTAAGACATTTCTTTTGTTAAAATAAAACTCTGCTTAGTCAATAGATAAAAAAATATAAAAGAATGAATCATTTAAGCCTGATTATTTAATCATCCTAAAATCGATTGCGTTGAAATCTTATGAATTTCTGAATCCTGTTTCAGACTATTTTCGGACGATATTCAATCAACTATCGAGACATAAATAGTTCATTCGATAATTCAACATCATCTGAAGACCCTACAAATAGATTCTCTATTTACCTAATACGTCTTTTTCTAACAATAAAAGAAATTTGTATTCAATAATACAGTTTTTTTTGCAGTTATATATACTCTGTCAAACCAAAAAAGTGCCACTGACTACGGCGGATGTCCTTCGAGGATTCTTGATGTTTTCACATGAATTATATTCAATAAGCCGAATGCAACGGAAATCATAAGTATTAGACTTCCGATAGATTCTGCTGATAAACGAGCAAAAGAAAATTTTCTACTCACAATCACATCATCCATTTCATCCAGAATTTTATTCACAACTGCTAAGCGTCGATTTCTTGAGTCACTCTTGGACGGTAATCGTTGTCGCGACTCATCGCCACTACTATCTACTCTTGATTTTATTATACTTCTATCTGTATCTGAAGGATGAATTTGTCGTGCACTGGAATCATATCGATCTCTGAATGGTAGTGTTGGTTTTTCATCATCAGATATGGCGAGGGATGTTGTTTTTGTTATTGGCATAGGTCCACCTTTTCCTGAATATGGTCGTGCCACAGGTTTAGCTTCAATATCTGCATCAGCATGTGTATATTGAAACAAGTAAACTTGATGCTGTGTGCCGATTGCGCACATCGCTAATATATTATCTAACGGATGAAATTGTATATCAATAGCTGGTTGAGTATAATTTAGATGTTTATATGAGTAAAGCAACGTTCCTTCGTATGTATTCCAACAATACACTTGTCCATCTTCACTACCAGCAAAAACAAGAGAGCCACACGAGGAAAATGATGAACGAATCCGATCTTGTAAATTGAACGCTCCGACGTAATGACGCGAAATACTTCTCCTAAATATCGAAAAGAAAATGTAACAAATCAAATTCTCTTTTCTTCTGATTTCTTACGTTCGAACATCGACTAGGACAATTAAATTATCACGCGCAGATACTAATAAAAAGTGATCACCCGGCGAATATGTAACACTGTTCAATGGAATATTCTGTTCAATAAAAAATAAACGATCAAATAAGAAAGACAAATTTTTTGCTTTTTCTACTTTTAACTCTTCGAAATCTAAATTGGAATACAATGACCAACTATCTGCAGATACTATAGAAAGAAAAAACATATAGCTTTTTATTTTCATTATATTCTACGAATTTACTTGTTTCACTTGGTAGTCCATTCCAAATTTTAATAGCACCAATACTATCAACAGATGCTAACTGCGTACCATTTGGATTAAATGATAGACTACTAATATATCCTAAATGATCATTCATTGTTCGTACTATCTGTAACAGAAAAAAAAGAAACGTTTTGAAGTCTAAATGTATGAAGAAGCAAAAACAAATCGACTTACAGTTCCATGTTTCTTATCAATATTCCATATGCGTATTAATTTATCATAACCAGCAGTGACAATTAAATCTTCCGATGATGGATGAAAGCGAACACAATAAACATAACTAGGATGAGCTAGCGAACGCCAAGGTTTTCGTTGAGTTTCTTCGAAATTCCATATTCTAAAAAGAAATTTCCCAAAACAAATCCGATTGATTTCATGAATCTAAATTGCAACATGCTATTTGTCTTAGCCTTTCAATTTGATTGTAGGATTAAAATTTTTACTGAAACCAAAATTTCTCCTAACAGTCTTAGAACTAGATATGCAATCGGCATAGTGCTACATTGTTCACAGTAGATTTTTATTTTTCGTTTAATTTCTTCGCTCGAAAAAAATTAGCTTAGCCTTTTTAAATCTTACTTGACAGAGGAATCGGCTGATGCCGATGCTAAATAACGATCAGTTCTTGACCAATCCATGTCATAAATCATTTGTAGATGTCCAATAAATATAGCTACACGTCGATCATGTGGAATCTATCGATGGAAGAAAAACGAGAATCGTTTTAAAAGAAGAAACTCTTTAGAATTCGATAGATTTACTTCATAGATAGATATTAAGTTATTCTGTTGTAGTTTATTTACTTCAGCGCACGCAATAAAATAACCATTGTGCGAAAAACGTATTGATGAGCAGCCACGTTCACTTGTGTTAAGTGCAAGTATTTGTTCAGTTGGTATTTTACATTTAGAACTTGATAATTTGTGCCAACGTGGTGGCTTTTGTAATACACGTTGTAAGGGTCCCATTTGTGGGCTGCCCAAATCCGTTGGTTGACCATCCATAGGATGTTTAGCACCAACAATGTTCGAACTAATATTGAAAGAAATTTCACGTTCTTTTTTTCTTTTATTCAAAAAATAGTAATTCTGTTTTACTCTTCGATTTCTTTGGTTAATTGATTATATCGTTCTCGCATTCCTTCAATGTCGCCATCGACAACCGATCGTATACCTGGATGATACCTTCCTCTTGAATCCAAAGGTTTTATTGTTACATAGAGTGTAGATGGATATTTTTGTCGATTCATATGAGCGTACCAGTTGACAAACTTTTGAGAAGAGAAACATCAACATTATTTTATTTTTGTGAGGTTTATTTTTATACGTACATCGGGCACAGATGATCCGGAAGAATAGTGGCCGACTGGTTCCCAAAGTTGTAAACGAACCATTCGTTCAGTATTCAGAGTATTTCGTAAACCAAGAATCTAATAAATTAAATTTTCAGAATAGATTTCTAATCTCGAATCCCGTCGTATTTTATTATTATTAAATTTTCATTTTCAGCGTTAAGAATAATGCTCAATCTCTTCGTTTTGTTAGATTTACTTTTAAGAATGACCATGCAATGGGAAATGTATTCGATCGATCCGTTGGATTTTGGGGATTATTAAAATAGTCGAGAATCTAAAAGAATCAAACGAAACACTAGACACATCAATTATGTTTAAAATATTGAATTCACCTCGAAGAAAAATACGACATTCTGTTGTTGAACTGTGGTAAAGTATGAATAATCTTCATCAACTACGATCATGTTTTCCCATGATGGAATAGTTGAACTAATTTTAAAACAAAATCTATGCTTACACAATCATTTACAATAGAATAGTTACCGATTAACAGTAAAATCATAAGGTTCGGTTGGAACAGATGGAATAAAATCTTGTGTCTGATCATTTATATTATGATAATGAAGTACTGAATGATTTCTAGAAGAAAAGAAAACAAATGTGATAGACTTTTTTTCTTTCCTTTTATGTACATTTTTTATTTATATTATTCTCGTAAAAACATAATATTTTAATCGTACCAAAAGCAAATATTTATACTAAATATTAATTTCTCTCTCTCTCTCTCTCTCTCTTGAACTTTTATTTCTTAAAGATAAAATTATGAAAATTTAACATACGGATTTAATTTTCGTACGTAAGATCTTGTATTGACATCAATTAGATGAACGCGTACAAATGGGTGGCGAAGTCGAAGATCTGTTTTTAAACGGTCTGTCCGATGAACAGAAATTCCAAGTATTTTATCTTTGTGTGGATCGACTCTTGTTTCGACATCTGAATGTGGTTCTTTGGATTGAGTTCGTCTTTTTTGTCGACGAGCATCATTTGGTTTCTTGACAGTCATCTCAATATCTTCGCCTTCACGCACTTTAAATGTTTTCTTTTTTCTTGCTGGTTTAGCTTCATGTTCTACAGTCACTGTCGTTGCTGGAGGTAAAACGGAGTCATTCGGGGATGGTTTTCGTCGCTGACGGGATCCAGGTCGTCGTAGGTGAGTTTCAGGAACTGAAATTTAACTATAAAAATAAAATTTCCTTTCTACATTGACCTATAAAATAACCTTCAACTCGTGTCTCATCGATGCTTGTTGTTGCAGACGTTGTTCGATTTTGACGACGTGCACGTCGTGCTTGTACAGTTGAATTATTATTAATCAATCGTTCATTATAGCTGTGATTTTCAACACCACTGTCGTGCTACGCAACCGAAGAAAAAAAATGATCCACAAAATACACATTGGTTTATCTTTATTCGATTGTTTCTTACCGAGTCAGACTTGTTCATCATTCAGCTTTCTTCTCTATAATCCTTCAAAAACTCTTTATTTCTCATCATCGACAATGAACGGCAGAATAACGTCACTAAGCAACCCCGTGCATGTATTCTTTTTCTTTTTCTTTTTCTTTATTTTACAATGTTAGATGTCTCTAGACAACAGATATCGCAGAATTTGTGAAAGTGCAGCTATTGCGACACTAGTACGATGACTAAGACATTGGTGAAACATTAACATTTCTTCACGTTTATTATTCATATGATTAGTGTCATTTCCAAAACAACCCTCGTTTGGATGTTGCCAGCTCATTAGCTCATTGAACCAATTATTTTCTTGAAAAAATTCGCTCCAACCAAGTAAACCACCGAATGCGATTTGTTCCATGAATAAGTCGCGGTCAGATTCAGGAAAAGTTTTACTTGCAATAGTTTGACTTTCATTTAACATTCTCGAAATCATTTGATATTCTTTCAATGATGATAACCGATGTTGTTGACGACATAGAGATTGTTTAGCAATTATTGAATAGAGAATTTGATGAGTAAGTGAATAGCGACAAGCATATGGATCACTTCTTAATTTAATGCAGGGTTCAGTTTCATTACACTTAGAAAATCCCAATGCATGAAGACATAGATCTGAATTTTTTTCAACAAATTTCGACGATGAACATTGTTTTTCTGTATGAATTTGATATTTGTTGCTATGAAATTGAAATGGTTCAATTTTTGAAAAAATGCCTGGCGTCAGAAGAAATGATAGTTGCGCATAATAATTTGGTTGCCGATGACGAACAGATCGCGCTATTTGCCCAGTAACATATTCACTCAAGTCGACAAGTTTTTTCACTGATTTTCCTTGTTTGCACACTGTGTAGGCTCGTAATTGATCAGCGACCATCCGTGTACCAATGCCAGCGTCGAGGTTAACCTGATTAATATTCAATGAAAAGAAATTTAGAGCTCGTGTTAATGTATTGATAATTTGATCAGTAGTAATAGTAATTGAAGATTGATTACACACAACTAGTAATGGAACAACGGTAAATATCAAAAGGCAATGCATCGTGCGCATCATCTTTCTTTATGAAGGGAAAATGATAAGAGAACAAGAAAATATGTCTCGGCGGATTTATACACATATTGTTATTCATAAGCTCATTTCGTCGGCAATTTAGATTATCTTTTCTTTCATTTTGTTTTTAATTAAAATTCACAAATAAAGAAAATGATCTTGTTATTCTATTCTCGCTTTTGATTTGATTTATGCTAAATCGTATTCATCATCCGTTGCTGGTAAATAGTCTAATAAGGATCGTTTTTCATAGACATAAACGAACGCCAGTAATATGAATGTATAAAAATCAGCCAGAATAAGTAGAATACTAGATTTTCGAAAAAAAAAAAAAATTTCATTCTAAAACTGAATTCTACACGAAAATTATTTTACCTAATAAATGGCATCAATTGAATTAATTCAATGAATAGTTTAACTTTTGCACAGGACATATTCACAAGATATCTATCATGTTGATTATTTCTTGTACATGTGCATTGTTTAGTTGCAAAATTCGTATTTAATATTTCCTTAGAACAATAATCAAAAAATTGTTGAATTTCATTCGATGGATATTTACGTATTTGAATTATATTTAAAGTATACCAAACATTTGAACACAGATGTAAAAATAGTGTTAAAAGAAATGGATAGAGAAATACAAATGAACCACGACGAAAACCGCTAAGTATAGAACAGAACAAAAATGTTTATCTATTTACACTAAACTACTAAATCATACCTAATAAAGAAAAGACAGATGAAAATAGCTTGAATAATGATGAAAAATGGAAAATGCTGCCAAGGTAAATTTAGTAATGGATCCGATGTAAATATAGCGATAGTAAATTGTGCACACGTACCAAGAAGAATATAGGCGAATGATAATGTTAAAAGAAAAACGGCTGTACTCATTATTTAGAGAGATAGTTAAATGAGAGTAAAATTAATTTGTTTAACCGTGAATATTGATTGCAAGTAAAAACATATAGTAGCGGGAAGATTTGTTGTATAAAAACATAATTTATTCTTCTACACTTATGAGGGTAATTCAGGGCGGGCTGAGTAGTTTTCGAAAGAAAGAAAGTTATCAATATCTATGATGTAACAATTGATTATATTAAATGAGCTTATACTACTTCAATCTTATCATTTTTATTTATTTATTTATTGTTAAAGTGACATTTTCATGCAGAGATTTTTTCTTTAATTATCGAAAATGAGTATATTAAACCTAATGTTTATTACAATACAATGTCTTGCTTCGTGCTGATTCGTTACTTAGTCATTGTCTGCCTATATTCATGAAGATAATTATGATTATCATGATAGAATGTCTCTTGTGATGTGAACAAAGTGTTGATTGAGGCACGCATCGGTAACTTTTCCCTTCCATCCTATTCAATCAACATCACCATTGTATTCTCTTCATAGTGACAAGCATTTCGTTCATTCAATTTTGATATTTATTTTGTTAGAATATTCTTTCTATCTGAACGAATAGCGATAATTCATGTCTCTTCGTGCTGTTGCTGCGGTCACGTCCAAATAAGTTTGACCAGCTGTTGTTGTTGCTTCACGAGGTTTTAGTTGTTGATTTGAGAGATATTTTTCACGATTTCTTGCCGATAGATTCGAAAGTTTTTTATATTCATTCCAAAGTTCATTGACAACTTCACTTGTTAATAAATCACTTATATTCTCTGAGATTAATCGTAATATTAACACGCAATCAGCTGATAAATAATCAAATATAAAACGTTTCACCAGTAGTTGTCGTCTGAAACGCTCCTTTTTTGAATATAAACTTAAATAATTTGCTACATACGAATAATTAAAACGCTGAAAACTATTGCTGATTATTGTAAATAAAACACTTTTGAAATTTATGATTGTTAAGAAAACTAACCAAAACCAAACAATAGTAAAAACTTTTTCATTAAACACATTCATTGGTAACAGGCATTGCACCTAAATAAAAATACAACAGAGAACTAATAGTATTTTTTTTCCTCAATATAAAAATAGAAAGTTATTCTTTTACTGTATAAAGTGTTGGTTGGCCAATTTTAACAATATTAAAATCACAATAAACACTTAAGGGAAATATTTTTGAACCGATGATATATTCACCTTGGATAAAATTTTGTAGTACTTCAAGACCATACAAAACAGAATTTTTTGTTAGTAATGCGTTTAGTAAAAATAATTGCAGTGAAGAATTAATAAGAAAAAGTATTTTAACAATGAGAAATAAATTCACTAAATAATAACCATGAAAAGGATTCGTATTAGAAAAAATAAATGGAATACAAAACATATTTAAAAAGTTAAATGCCCACGATCTATTCGACGATGAATTATTTGAATTCGAAAAACTTTTATTATCATTCGCTGTCATACGATCAAAATCGTGCTGTTTATTACGTGCTAGTAGATTAAGCATTGCTGTTATATGATGAACTTTATAACGATTTGTTCGATAGTCAAATTTTGGTGATAGACAATGTTGAATATTAATTCCACATCGAGGACTAAAACTACTCCAGGCAAAACGTGGTATGAGAAATAGTAATGATTGAAGTGCAAGTATTATTGGTAACCACTGATAGTAATAAATTGAGCGTCGACGACGTATATGAGGATTAATGTTGGTGGGAATGGTTTCATTCATTGATATATAGTAAGTATTTGTGACATAACAATAGTGTCGAGTATATGAAACAAAATTACCTGAAAGAAAATGAAAATAACTCCCCAGACGTATTATTTTCTTAACAACATTTATAAATTTGATAGATATGCTATTAAATGCCACGTCAGTTTCCTCACTCTACGATCATTCATTTACTCATCACTCAGATCAAGATAATATTAATAAATCATCTATATGTCTAGGTCATCATAGCTAATTATTTTACATGAGTAGGATAATTAGTTTTCTTTATACATGAATTTTTATCGCTTCAATTTGATTAATCTTCCAATTAATGAATACAACAGGAGATTTGATTTGGTTAAATTGTTTTTGTTTATTTAATTGAATCATGAATAAAATATGATAATATTTACCTGTAAATTCACCCGGCGTCCAACAAATGATTAGATCAGATATAAATAAACGTGAAGTAAGTATAGCTGAAAATATTAGTAGCATTAAAACAGTATGGCGATGATTGAGACGATTCGCTGAATCATCGTCCGAACAGCCAAACCATGATATACGTAAATGTGAAAGTTCGGATAAACGATGAACAATCTCAGCCATTATCAATAGTAGTAGGACAACAAAAAATTATTTACGTTGAATATCAGTCGCTGCGTTACTCGGATAAATAATACAACGCTGATAGCAATGCTCAAAGGAAGGATAACTCCAACACACACACACAGAGAGAGAGAGAGAGAGAGAGAGAGAATCCCTCTAATAGATAGAAAAAAAAAGTATTTTTAACTGTGTCACTTCTGATTGTGGATCATTTCGACGGTTGCCTATGTGTGACGGTTTTACCATGTATTTGTTTCCCTTCTCTTCATCGTTCTGTTTCTCACTCTTCATCATGGCACAGAAGACAAGAACTATGATAAGGAGACAGAGACAGAGAGAGAGATAGAGAGAAAATAGTAACAGCAAAAGAACCAAGAAAATTACAGCGAAAGTACAATTGCCTATGTTTATGATAAACTTAGTTAGAATTTACTTCCTCTCTTATCTATCAGTTGTTCATTAATACATAAAAATGTCTATAATCAAAGATCGTTGTCAACAACAGCAAAAAAAATCACCTGAGGCTACCACCTAGTATGTTTCTTTTGAATGTACCATCATCGGAAATCATATACACACACAAACACTCAAACATTATTTATATATTTGCTTATATGTTCAATAGATCGAGATTCCGGACATTGACACACACTTACATATAAATGTAAAATCTTTTTTTTCCTTCTTCTTCTTCTTCTTCTTCTTTCTCGTTTATATTCTAATCTGTTAGAACAACAATTCTATTTGAAAGAATGCAAGCATTTCTTCATCGAACATTTCTATTATCTCTACGTGTCTATAGAAAAGCGGATAGAGATGCAAAAATGTTCTATTTTGTGTTCATTATTTTATGAGTATCGATAGTGGTGTTAGCACAGAAATACGCATACAATGAAGAAGAAGAAAAAAACGATGATGACCTCATTGAAAATCCAATTGTGATTTCCTTACAAAAACAATTTCCTGCCTAATCAGTTGCAAGGTCGTTTTACTAAAGAACAACCGTCGTTTATTTATTTATTTATTTTTATTTAGTATAATTTAAAAGACAAGAAGAAGAAGAAAATATTTTGTTTTCTCATATCGAAATATTCGGTTCAGCAATAGGCATATTGATAGCCGCAGATATTAATGGCGCTGTTGAATCGCGTCGACAAACAAAAACCTATCAACATTAAAATATTCTAATTCAATAGACTGATTCAGGAAATAATTCATTACTTTGATTGTATCCGAAATTGCTTTGTCAGTAATACAAGTAACAAATGAGCAAAAACCGTATTCGATTCCGTTGATAAGAATTGGAATCTGCAAAGAAACAAAAAGTAATTTTGATAGTTGCTTCTTTGAAATCTCTAGAGAACTATCGAACTTCGATGTAGTTCGGATTGAGATTATAAATATTCTCATCGTATGTAAATGATAGAAAAAGATCTATAATCGGCGATAACGTTGCTGCTGATGTATTTTGAAGTTTAATTGTTAATTTAAATCGCGGACCGAGACCATGAACTTCAGCATTGATTCTTATAGCTTCGGTTTTTGTTTTAGCGATTGGATTTAGTCCAGCTTGTATTGATTTAAGAAATTCTTTACCGGTTAATAGTTTCAAACGAATTAAATCTTGTTGAAATATTCGATACATATCTTAACGCAAAAAAAAACAAGGAAATTCATTTTTCTTTTAAATTAAATCTTTTTCTTCTAATTTACTTTCTGCTTGTTCTTTTTCACGTAAGGTTTGATCGACATAGAGTTTGGTTCGTTTTGGTACATCAATTTTAACTTGTTGCTCTTTTGGTGGACCATGAAGTACATCGCTTTCTTCAAAGACTGCTGTACGTTTTAGAATTTTCAGTACGAGACCACCATCTAAATTTCATTTGAAAAAGAAAAATAATAATCTCTGACTTTTGACTGTCGAATGAGTAAATGTAGGTGCTAAAACAAAATGCTAATAAATAATTCTAATCTCAGGGGTATAAGATCAGAAGCGATATTCCCTTGTTCTATTCATGTAATCAAAAGTTGGCATGGCTTCTCTTACTTTTTGTAACCATTACTAATGTTGCATCTTCTCGTCCTAGTCGTCCAAATTTCATTGCATAAACATTTTCTTCAATTTGAATAACATCAACAAGAAATTTATCTTTATATAAATGTATTTCATTATTTGCTAATGCAACAGCTACAGCTTGAAAACCCCTTGGACGATAATCAATCTGACACATTGCAGTGATTTGAGCTGGTAGTATGTGTTTCCAATAGCGTTTACCCTTTTCAAGCAAACAAGGAAGCAAAGATGTTAAAGTTTTTCTTTTTTATGTTCATACTTTTGTTGTATAACAATGTAATGATGAATCCATACAACCAACAATTATATTTTTACCAAAACGTTCAAGACCAACAGCAATTGAATTTAAATAAATAGAATTTCGTGGTTGTGCGCTTCCTCTAAAGTATATTTTTTTTGTTTCGGTAAGTTTAATTAATAGAAATAATTTTTACCTTCGAAATAAATAAATATATCCATTACGACAAGCGGCTAAGATACGAAATTCAACATCATAAATACCGGATACATCAAGAAATGATGGAGTTGCAGGACAATTCATCTTTGATTATTAAATAAAATGTCGAAAATATTTTTATTTGTATTTGTATTCTTACGGTAGCGAGTATTGTGAATGCTTCAGATTCAACTATATAGATATTTTGATCCTCAGTACCAATTACAAGACAATTAATTGCATCTTCATCAGCGCAATTTTTATTTAATTTTTTCATACACGTTATACAACTCTTTAAAAACAAAAGAATAATAGAAAATCATGTTTTCAATTTATTTACCTGCCGTTTTAATTCAATATTTTTAAAATGTTCAACGAACTGTTGTGCCTCAGTGTTGTTTGTCATTTGTAAAAACCTTAAATTTATTCAAACAAAAATAGACTTTCTCGGTACAAACGTCTTCAAACAATATATTCATTATTTCCTAGAGATATACTCAGAATTTGTTTTCTAGGACAAAAATGCATAAAATAGTGATTATATAAAATCAATTGTATCGAGAATACGAAGGACAACTTTCTAATAAGTGATTTTTTTCTTCTTGTTTTGTATTCTGAAAGAGAACCGTTTTTACTCGTAGCTGAGAGTTAGAGATACAGCTATGAATTTCTTCATAAACACTCATACATAATTTTTCAATCTTCTAGCTCTAATCGTTGAGTTGAAAAGTGAGCAAATTTATTGTGTCAAAATTTTTGCATTGTAGAATATCATCTGTCTTACATGAAAGATCGGTTTGTTAAAATAGTCGAACCGGTACGATGAAGATCATTAAGAATATCATGCATTGCTTGAATGTCAATATTACTCTAGGAAATAATGTTAAATATTTTCAAGAATATGAGATATGCATTTAGATTATTTCGAATGGAAACAACTAACCTCTCTTGCTTTGAGCCAAACATCTTTTTCTACTTGAGATATTTCTAATTGAGGTAATACAAATTTATAATAGGGTCGAAGTGATTTAAACAGGAAAACAGCAGGACCAGAGGCAACTGCCAGCGCTAAGAAAAAAGACAATTAAATGTTAATAAAGAAAAATAAAGCAACTAAGAATATTTTACCAGGAATTCTCGGCTGAAGGTTATCTGTATAACAAGCAACAACAGCACATGGTAAATCTGAAAGATTATTTTCTTTTAGTAGGGAAAATCCTAGAGAAATATTTGAAAATAAAAATTATTAATTAAGAAAAAAAATATATATCAATTCTACCTTTGAATACTTTTAGTTTGGCTTGTAATTTCGGTACTAGAAGAATATTTCCAAAATCAGCAATAACTAAATTAACTGAGCCTTCCGCATACAAATCTACAAGCTCTATACATGTTTCAACTGTATTAATTCCTGCAACATAATCACTATGAGCTGGCAGCCATTTACTTTTAGGATCGGATCTAAAGAATTGAAATTTGAAAATATTTATTTATTCAATAAAAACATATATTTATTATTATTTTTACGCAGCTGTTGTTGGACGGGTTTGATTAATCTCAGCGTCATTATTATTTTCAGGTTCTTGATTGTATTTCGACGCAGATTTATCTCCTTTAGTTAATGACATTATTACTTCAATTGATGAACTAAATCCTTTCTCGAAAATATCTTGTCATAAGTTATTCCATGACAACAGGAAGAATAAGTAAGCACCTTTTTCCAGAGGTCGCTAGTGGTTAATTCATTGGTGTTGTTGTATCTATAGTAACAAGGTCAGAAAAGAAAGTTCAATGGTAAAATTTTCTACAAATTTTTGAAAAAGAAACATCTACGTTTATTATATTTTTTCGTGCTATTTTTATAATAAAATGAAAGAGAAAACAGTTGAATCTGTTGTTCTCTTCGAAATTGCCTTATTGTTGAGTTAAAAAATGATTGCATTACTTTTTTCTTCCATCATTGGATGCAAATGTTAGAAATTAACTCCTAGAAAAATACGAATGGAATATAATTCAGGTGGTAGTATGATTTTACCAGATACTATTAATCTTAATGAAAATGATCCTTATGATGAAGATATCGTTCATGAGCAAGCAAATCAAAATGAAGTAAACAAAGACACCGAATCGATTCAGTGTCTTTTTTGTTCGTTTAAAGCAATGACTTCTTTTCATTCCTATTAGATTGTTGAGTTAATCATGGCAGCGTTCGAAGGACATGAGGAACCATCTGATGGTGAAGATGATGATGACGAATCATCCAATACATCTGATTCAAGTCATCATAATTCAGACGAAAAGCATACGTTGCATATACAGAATAATAATAATTATCATATTGATGAACTTAACGTTCAACAAAATAATGAGTAAGAGTTTTTTTCTTTACGAAAAAGAAACCCTTCAAAATCCATAACCTAAACAACCTTGAGTTGATTGAACTACTGAAACTTTTACAATCAAATAAATAGATTTTATTGAATAGGATAAAACAATATATATATATATATATATATATAATTGTTATTTTATAACACTGTCGAATAGATTTTTGTCTAGCTGTTAAAACAAAGAAAAAACTAGGACACTATTCAAGCATTGATTTGTACTTTATTTAGCTGCTTAATATGATAAAAAAATATATATTTCTATTATTTTGAACTTATTTCAAAAACGAATTTTATTTAGAAGCTCATGAAAATAAAATCAAGGCCATTGACTATAAAATTTTAAAAACAGATTACTTGAATAAATAGTTAAATGAATGATTTATTTAAAAAATAATGTTCGTTTATTGTGTAGTCTCTTGAAGAAACATGCAGAAATATTAATTCTACTTTAACAGTCTTTATTGGATTTCTCGCTTGAGATTAATGAGTCGATTTTGGCAAGACCGGCAAGTTGAATTTGGACGAAATTTACTGCTCCCATACTTTCTCTTCGAGCATAAACAATGAAAGACTCGTTACATATTCCTATACAACGGCATAATAATAATCGATTTGCTGTAAGTCATTTGTTCATTGTGAGTTTTGGGGTAAAAAAAGATACTATATCGACTGCTTAGAAAAAAATTTTAGTAGAAGAATTTTGCCTTTATTTCTATGCAAAACCCGGTAACGTTATGATCTGTGCCGATCCAGGAGTTTGAAAGATATGCAAAACCTAACTATATTCCGTACTATTAGAGAATCCATGTTTCCAAGTTCGGATAAATTACTTCAAGAGGCTGAAAAAACGCACAGGAACATTTTTTCAAACGGCTTCTCAATAGTCCATTAGCCAAATAAATATTTAATGATGCTTTTCAATTCGTTAAAATCAACAATGCGAGAATAAAGAAATCATACGATTAAAGCTGATTCAAAACGTTTTGAGTACTTTGAATTCTTTATCAAATATTCACACACCGTCAAGTAAATAGATATAACACTATTGTAGCCGAAAGAAATAATGAATAAATATGTGCCCTTTGAAATCTTAACCTAAATACCGATTGTACCATGCCCTTGAACGATTTCCTTCATACACGATTTGATCTATAGTATTTTTTTTCTCTAACAGAATATCATTTTTCATTAAGACTGATGCAAACTAATCATTCATATCGATTATTTTCAAATCATGCACTTTCTACTCGATCACCCTTAGGTGTTCCTTCCACAGATATTCATGAGGTAGGCGTCATCAATGCCTTTCATTGTTTCGTCTGTTTAGTTCTTTTTTTTTGTATCATAATCAATTTGAGATCAACGCCAATGATATTGAACATTTACAACATGATGAAAGTAATCATAATAACGAAAAAATATATGTCAATGGGAACAGTCCTATTCTAATCGATCAAAATAATAACCGTTCATCTAGTGTATTTGATCCGCTGAATCCTCAATATTTCTATCAAACATCGTCAGTAAATCTATTGGATGTGCAAAATCAATTGAACAAATTGCGCATATTATGCAGTGTTAAAGATCGTAAAGCTTCTCAACTTGAAAATCTTTGTGAAGAATATCGAGAAAAATATGAAAGTGAGCTACGAACATTTAAACATCAACTTCTATTAAGCGAAAGTAAGTAAAAATGAAAGATTCGGTTTTTTTTCCTACAATACTTCTATTTTAATATTGTCTCAAGGATCACATTATGACTGGGAGCAAAACTATCAACTGCTCAATAAAAACCGCGCAGCTTTATTTGAAACAAATAATCAATTACAAAGAACAGTTAAAAATGCAGAATTAAGAATTCAACAATTAGAAGCAACGGCAATGCAGGTACAAAACTTCTCTTACAGGTTGACTCATTGATTCGAAATATCAAAAAATTTTCCGGCTTCAACGTAAAGTTGATGTTGTTTAAATATATTTTAATTAAATCGACACTTGCACGCGTATTCTCTCAGGGCTTAGATGTCTAGCGAGGATTTACATTGAGAATGAGATCGACAACTTTTTTTTTATCATTCTAGTAGACACTCATTCTTGTAAGCTCTGAATAGAAACTAACATACAAATGAGCAATAAAACAATAGCGAAGCAGTTATGTATACTGACTGCAACATTCAGGTCTGTATTTGAATACAAGCTTTGTTCTGTACTTTGTCTATTTTGTTTGTTCGAGAAAAATAAATCGGATCAATAAAAGTCATCCGTCTATTATATGACACTAAAACTAAAGTCATCTTTTATTAAAGTAGTCAATATAATTTCTATTCTAATGTTTTATTTGATTAGATGGAAAAGAAATCTTCTGATTCGGAGTCATTTGCCGATACTCTACAACGAAAATTGAGCGCCTCACAACATTTTGAATCCATCGCACAGACACAGCAGAATTATGAACTTATTTTGGCTACGATGCGTGAAAAACATGAACAGGAATTAGTAACTTTAGATGAAAAATTACAAAATGCTCAAAAGAATTTACAAGAAAAGGTCTTGTTTTCCAAAAAGATATAACTGTAAAAATGTAAATTATTGTTAATTTAGAATGTTGAAATTAATGAAATTCGATCTCAATTAGAACTTGTATGCAAAGGAAACGAAAAAGTAAAGTAATTCTTATAGATTATAATGAAAAACTGATGGAAATTTTTGTTTCGAAGGTTATATTCGAACGTGCCGAAACAATTAATCAATTAAACGCAAAATTGCATGATTGTCAACAAAACTATGCTGATTTACTAACCAAAAGTTCATTGGAATCATCCAATCAAATAGAAATCAAACAGCAATTAACAAATATGACGCAAGATAAAGAAAAACTCGAATATAAATGCCAAGAACTACAGGTATATTTATCCACATGCAGTTTACCTTTGTGAAAAGTCTGCATTAACCATCGGGAGTAAATTCTATAATGTCACGACTGCGGATTATCATCCGCTCATTGTAAACTAAGACCAGGCTTAGAAAATTTTTCTTTATTCGGATACAAAAAAAAATATAGGGCTCGATTTTCTAATATAGTTCATAGTGTACATAAAAATGATGATTGCAATATTAACAATAATAATGATCGCTGCTCAATTTTAAGATTAAAAACTTCTAGAAAAAACGTTCTTTTGTCCAAAGCGTTCAATATTTTGTCATCATTTTCTAGAAGTTTTCTTTTGTTCATATCGAAATTATCGATGGAATATTTTTAGTTTATCTATCAATTATACTTTCGATTAATTTTAAATTAAAATTTTATTTCTCATTGACCTTTTTACTATTATTATTTATCACACAAACACAAAAAAAAAACTCATTCTCTCTTCGAATGTTTATTTGTCATAAAGGTTTTGTCTCGTTGTAACATTCATGTCCCACTATGAGTGTAAGATAACAAAAACGACAAAAAAAAAATGGTTTGAATCTATCTTTGATAACAGAAAGAGAAAAAAAGATTATATCAGTGACAACAAGAATCTACCATGGTAGTAAGAACATGGGTAGGTAGTGTTTGATATCTTGCAAAAACTGAATTTCTTTTTTTGTGGTTTCATTTAGTCCGAAATTCGTACATTGCGCGAACGCCCCGATCATAAGGAATATGAAATTAATAATAAAACCATAAAAAATTCTCCTATTGATAATCATTATAACAATCAAAAGTTTACACTAGTCGAATCGACGATAGATCAAAATATTCACTTAAAACAACGAATCGATGAGTTTGTATCAAATGAAAAACACCTTCTTGCATTGATTGGCGAATTACAAAGCAAAACTCGAGATCAAGCATATTCATCGAAACGCACTTACAGTAGTAGTAGCAGTAGTTCGAATGAAACAGTTATAACTACAAGCATTCACATGGAGAAAATTCAAGATTTAACAGAGCAAGTCGAAACATTGAAAAAAAATTATGCAGATCTAGAAGAAAAATATGAATATGAAAAACATGAACTACAAACTATGATTGAACAATTACGTGAAGAAGTTACTGAAACTGATAAAGTGAAACAGTTTTACAATGGTAAAAAATTTTCATTTCTATCTCTTTTCTTACTTGTTCGTTTTGGCTTAGATTTAAATCACGAAGCAAGTCCTACGGAAGATATGCTACGAACAAAATTTGAGTTTGAGTTAAAAAGTCAACTAGATACAATGCGTCGAATACTCCAAGAAGACCATAATGAAAATATTTCGTCCTATAAAAAGACTCAAGAAAAGCTAGAACAAGAAAATCAAGATTTAAAAATAAAATCCAATCAAGATTTAGAACAAAAAACCAGAGAATTACGTCAAGAAATGGACGCAATGAAAGTAAAACATGAAAAACAAATTATTCAATTAAACAATGAAATTGATAGACTTAAAACTAATGGTGAGTTCTATTGTTCAAGAATGAATTTGATTTCGTTTAGAAAATTAGACAGTAAGCCAAGTCGATAGGAATAGTTAGCTTCATGAATTTGCACAGCTCGCAGGATCGAGCATTTCAGTTTCAAGACCGAAAATCGCGACATGAAGTACATATTATAGATGAAAACGGTTCTTGTTTTGTTTTTGGAATCGAGCCCAATCAGCCCGGAATAGATAGACAGATAAGGGATCACACTTTTTCGGCGCCGAGTCCCGAGAGCTAATTTTTTTCTATTTGTTTAATTATGATGCACGCTTTTACTGATTAAAATTTATTGTACCATCCTCCTTGAGCGACTGCTTGCCTCTTCTAGTTGTGAATTTTTCGAAATAAATAATGTGATAGAAGAATAAGATCATTTTTCGTAGGTTTCAATGTTGCTATATCTTATCATTGCCTTAAATCTAACACCTTTGATTTATTTTTCAGAAGATGCAAATAGTCGTTTAGCATATGTCGAAAAAGAATTCGAACAATTAAAGCACGATTACTATGATCTAAACTTAAAGCAAAAAGATTTACTAAAATCGTGTTCAACACTTGAAAATCAAAATCAAATTTTATTAAATTCCGCTGAAAAATTCGAACAGGAAAAAATTCAATTAAAACAAACATTCAAAGATGAAGGGGAAAAACTTTTAAATGAAATAAAAGAATTAAACGAATTGAATCAACATCAGAAAGAAGAATTATTATCTATTCACAAACATAGCGATTCTCATAATAATAATTTAAAACAAGACATTGAACTATTAGAAGCACGCATCAATAATTATGAAAATGCGATTACTCAATATGAAGAATTTCGTGCAAAACTAGAAAAGAATTTAGAACGAATTACAGAACACCGTGATAAATATAAAGCTGACTTAAAATTAACACAAGAAATGTTACGAGCCAAAGGAGATGAATACGATCAGTTGAAATTACATATTATTGAATGTGAAAAACAATTACAAGATAAACAACATATTATCCCATATGAAACAACAATAAATGATTTACAAAAACAAATAAAACAGTATGAATTACAAATTCACGAATTAAAGCAAACACGAATAGTCCACAATGAGGTAAATTGAAAATTGACTCTATGAAATCTGGTTCTCTGCCGGTACAACGTAGAAGTGCGAATAGAGTAGTTTCATTAACCTATGAAGTGGTCGAATGAATACATTCGATACATAAAATGTTGCAGATGATTTTATTCTAGCGAAATTCCTGAAAAATGGAATAGTAGCCATTGGCAAGTCCTCAAATTAGCGATAAGCATCAGAAAGGCAAATCTATACATAAATAAATGAGAAAACATCGGATTCGCATCCGATTGTTACGCGTACTGCAAAAACTGAGTCGATTTATATATGTTTTGAATAATGCTGAGAAAAAAAATTTTTGAAAAAATCCCTGGGGGGCGGGGGGGGGGGGGGGGGGGGGGGGGGGGGGGGGGGGG